TAATCCTGGTGTTCTATTGTAGGTAGCACTTTCACATCGATACGCACTGTACTTGACCATAGTAATTGAATAATCTCGTTTTGTAATATAGTTTCATCAAAGCAATATTCTTAATAAACACCGAAAAGTCGCATGTCCGATAAGTCATGTATAAAATGGCGGCGAGGAATAAAAATGACACGCGTCGACATTTGTTGATGTGTGAGTCAGTATTGCAATAGATGAAAGAATGAGATGCCACTATCAAGTTGTAGCTGAGTACAAAAAGGATAAAAGATCATGTTTTGATTCATAAATATAACTAGGTTTTATGTTCCGTCTGCTATAGTATTATATGTCTGTGTTCGTAACTACTAATTTGGCTATTCGAAAGTCAAATTAGTAGTATACTAATGTCGATTAGCTACTACTAATTAGTGTTAAGATAAAAGAAAAATTCATTATAATAAAAACTAATATTAAACAATCAGTCTTTTATTTTAATCATAAGTCTGTCAAGCTTCTTTCTTTTTCATATCTGACACAAAACCGTGGATACAACAATTTCAACAATTAGTAATACTAATGCCAAATGTGTCTGCTTGCACCGCGCCCCACCCGATACTCTCGAATCCAGTCGAATGATATAAAGCACAGTCGACTTAGTCGAATCATTGGTGGAGCCGAATGATTAGTATTAGTATTATTCGAAGTCGCGCATCGCTAAATCATGGGTGAAATCTTTAGTCCATGATAGTAGTCTTAGGCTTAACGGGCATTGTAATCGTTTGCCTTCAATACACAAAAATATTTTAATAAAATAAACTGAATATTTCTGGTTTGCGCAGTATTGCCACCTTAGCTGTTTTCGGGCTAGATCTATCATTTTTATTGTATGGAAACTCGTTTTTTCATGCTTTAGTCCGAAGAGAGCGATCTACACTCTGATTTTTAATTCGACGAATTTCTGACATTTCAGAAGTGCTATCAATGATAAAACAGTCATATGATCTCTGTTATCTGTCAAACATTTTTAAGCGAAATTAAAAATAATGGTTCTTGAAAAGATTTTAAATTAGAAACTAAGACTAATAACATAAAAGTGGTTCTTGATCAGTAAGCTGACTGGCCGATCTTGTGACGCGTGGCCGAAATCGGAATTATTTTAAAAAAAATGTATTTTTTTTTTCACTTTATTTGTGGCTACAAACAGTCATACATTTTAATATAATTGTTCTGTGGTTACAGTAAAATTAATAAGTGACGACCTACAGTGCCAGCAATGTATCTTATTAGTTACAGAAAAACATTATAGAATAAGTATTATGGTTAAAAAAAATACATAAGAAGACAAAACATATAAACATGCAAAAATCTTTAAATTTAAATGTTGTCTTTTAATTTTATTTCCAGATTTTTTTTTAAATTACTATGTGAAACATTAAATATATCAAAGTTATTGAATTAATTAATAAAATTGCTGGTGAAACGATAAATAAAGGTGTGGCAAATCAAACCTACTTGTTGTCATTTTTATAACTACGATTTATCTATGTTTTTGCTGTCACTCAAAAACTATTAAAATTCTGGTTGTACTTAATGTGCTACAATATATTTTATTAACGTTATTCCTGTTTTTATCCATTATCCTCCTCCTATCCTCAACAAAAGGAATTTCGCGTGTATATTTTAGTGAGTAGTAGAGGAACAAATAGTAATCGCTTGCGAGGGGAGCGCATTGGCATACGTACACAGTTCACGAAAGATATCCTACTTAAAAGCGCAGAAGAATCTATTTGATCGTTGAGTATTTCATACTCAAATATAAATAAAATATCATATCAAACACTATACGACTATTAAAAAGTGATAATAACTTATATTCTTTCAATGAGATGTCATATGATTCATTTGTAAGTTTAAAGCGATAATTAAGGTGTTTTATAAATATTTTTTGAAGTCTTTCAAATCTATTGATATGGATCTGATTAGTGTTGGGTAGGACACGAATTGGAAAAGAGTTTGTAAGAGTAGCCTCTTTTTTGTAATGAGTCAGTACAATGTCTCACTTTAAATGAGGCGAGGCGTACTGAAGTTCAGCAATTGAAGTGACGAGTACAAAAATGACATTTAAAGACAACTCTGCTTTATGACATTAATAATGTTTCGCGTCGCAAAAAACTCGAAATTTTTAAAAAACATTGTTATTATTATCATAAAATTTGAAAAATTGTTTTATGGCAGCAGAAGACACGTTTGGATACAATTTGTATAAAAATATAACGAAATCATTCTTGAAATATATTAAATGTCATTACTAGATAAAAAATATTTATTATGTTAACTTTTTTGTATTTACTATTTTTTATTTTAAATAATCATACCCGTAAATTCATCAATTTTATTTACGGATATTAAAGATATTTAGATAGTGCCGTGCGTATTTGAGTAAAAAATCACATTTAAACGTAATCGAACTTATTTCAAAACGAAACGAGTAAATTACGCGACAATATGAAATGTACTCTCAGCCTGTAGTTTACATACAGGCTGAGAGAGTAGAGAGGGAGAGAGGCAGATAGAGTCGCGACATAAAATATGAAGTAGTACATTTTAAAATTTCGAGCCGCTCTTATATTTTCACGTCATGTCCGGGATGAATGTACCGCTTCTTGTAAGTCCTACACAACACTAGATCTGATAGTATGGACTCCAAACGGTGCTACAGTAGTCTAAAATTGACCTTACAAAGGAAGAGTACAAAATTCTAAGCGTACTAATTTTTTTAAAAGGCTTACTTGTTCAGAGATAAATCCGAGACTGCGGAGTGCACGACTTAAATGTGGTCTGTATGCTGGGTGAAAGACAATTTAGAGTCCACTAGCAAACCAGGCGAACTCCGTTTCGCCATCAGATGGCTTCGTTTTATGTAACATTTCGTTTGGTGATTAAAAGAAGTTTTTTTTTTTTGAAATTTTCCTTAATTTTCTTTGCTATAAACCTCACGGAGCCCGAGACCTTTCCAACGAATGCAAAACCGTGGAAATCGGTTCGTGCGTTCTGGAGTTATAGCATCAGGAAGGAAAACCCGACTTATTTTTATATAATAGATTATTATACCTAAACCCTAATTGTATTTACTCTTTCAATTGTATTATTATTAAGTTTAAATTACATAAATATATACGTATATATATATATATAAATAATAATATTTACATAAATAAGCCTTTAACTATGGAGAAAAATGTAAATAGAGTATGTGTAATGAATCATAAACTTACTATTGTTCAAGTTTTGAATATGGCAATTTTGTAACTGTTACTTTAACGTTAAGAATTGGCTATTTTTTGGGTGGTTGGGTTTTGATACTTTCGTTTATTTGGTAATTCATTTGTTCTACTTTTTTCGTAAACCTGGCTGTTGGTTTCTTTCAGAAAATGTAGATAATGTAGAAATAAAAGAAAGATGAAATGCTAATTAATTGATCTTTCAAAATCTAGTGTATAACAAATGAGACGTGATACACGAGAAGAAATATTTAGAACAGATATCACCAATGGTAGGTATTTTCCTATGAATTATTCCATAAAAATATTTAATATGATTTTAAGGTACATATTATATATTATTTTTATTACTTATATTATTTATTAAAATCCGATTATCATCATCAGTTATCAAAATCCGTCTAAAAATCTCAGAGTTATGAGATAAAAATAAAAATAAATAAAGCGGTATTCAGTACCTCCCACTTTTTTAAAGTTGGTTATAATGGTATCAATTCTGGCATGGTTGTGTCCTGGTAATTCTCTTTAAAGAAAAAAGGGAAAGACTGATGTTAAACCTTAGCACTTGCACTTTAGATACCAAAATTAGCTACAGTCTGGCTAACGAAAGTTTAACCCGGATTTTCCGCAACCCGCATCGGATCCACGCATGAAAATTTTACACAATAGCACGCTTTCGATAGCCAGACTCTAACACCCATATTCTTAGTCACGTCCTCAAACGTTCCTCGACACTAACTCATTCGAGGGCTCCTTATGGACTTCCTCCGAATAACCTCGAAAAAGATATTCTAGTAGGTGCCTTGAACAAACTTGAGAATTCCTCCACTGAGAGTACAAACAAAGGTATAAAGCATAGACATATTATATGTGTATAGTAAAATATCACACAGCAAGCATAGGTAAATACCTACTTGAAATAATCCTGTCACGTAAAACTTCAAAGCTACCAGTAATATTGTATTAAAGGCGATACAGGTGGACTACCTGTTCCGCCTTTAATACAATTTAGTGTAATGTTATTACAATTTAGTGTAATGCTTAGCAGAGGAAATATAACTTGTATGACTGTATCTCTCTAAACCGAAATCTTCTTTGAAACGAATCAGTGGTGCCAATTCTGGCGTGATTCTCTAAACTTAAAACTAAATTTAACTTCATTCTCTCCTTTTCATTCTGTATAGAGAATGACAAGGATATACTGCTGTCAAATTTAAGTTTAGGTTTAGTGAAACATGCTAGAATCGACACTACTGTCGTAAACCTCAAAAGGATTTGCGGCGTCACGTTAATAGCGTCGCGCCGGATTATATGGTTCATCATCGTATACGTAATCCATAAAATCCACCAATTCGTCAATAATCTCAAAATCAGACATAATTCTCGATTAAAACAATTTGAAAACACCTTAAACACCATTCGAAGAAGCCTTAAGGTACGTCGAGAGCTACCTTGAGTTTGACAGTTTATTCTTCGACTTGACCTCCGCTCGAGTGAGGAATATCTCAAGTGAAGGATATTTTTGTTGTCTAAGCATACAAATTTCCTCGAATGAGGTTGAGTCAAGTGGAAAAAATCTCGAGGAAACGACTAAGAATATGGGTGTTCATCTAGCTCTTTCTAGCTTGTCCGACTAACCAATTTCAAAAACCAAGGTGGCAACACTGTGTTAGTGAATTTCGTACTTCATGAATAAATTAAAAAAAAAATCGTACTCTGTGGTAATGCGCAAAAAAAAACAAGAGTTTTTGGCGGGTTTCATCGAGTGCACTTGGCGTCTTATTTTAATTATTCTTAAATTCGTTCATAGTGGATATTGTGAAATAAAATTGGTGTTGTTTTGTGTAACAACCGTCTGCGTAACTGAAGAATTAGTGGAATCGTTAAAATATACGCTATTCCGGTCAAGTGGACGTGAAAATTTTATTGTAGTGTTGACTACCTCACAGAAGCTTATCGAAAAAGCCAACTCAATACATTTCGTGCCAAACACTCCAAGAAACATTAGAATGCGTCACACAGACATTCTAATGTAAAAACAAAAAGAAGATTAATTTTATTAAAGACCAGGCTGAATGGGCATTGTTCCCTTTGCCTTCCCTAAAACGGGAGATCTTCAACAAAAAAACAAAGTAGCTGTCTGCTTTGCTGTCATACAGAAAGTCAAAAATCTTTTAGAATGGGAGAGCAAGTGGCAGTGCATCAGAAATGATTTTCAACACACAATTTTGTTAGTCTAGAGTTATGTATGCCTTTATGCATTCTTATGAAGATAATTTATCTTGTTGTATAACAAGTAGTACTTACGCTAGCGAAAGACACCATGGTGCAGTGTCATCCGCCGCTGGAGTTAGAGGAATTGCCAAAAGAAGACGAAGAAAGACTAGAAAAACTTTTTTCTAAATTAGACAATGATGGGAACGGAAAGATTGATATTCACGATCTCTCCGTGGCGCTGAAGGAGTTGGCTCCACACATCAATCGAAGCTATGCAGAGGTTAGAACATTACTTACTAAACTAGGCACGAACTAACGGTGGTTTCCAGTTAATAAGGACACGTGTAGATTCAGTCACCTGCGAACATGCAACGTTTCTAACGCCGAACCGCTGTTATGTTACAATTTCTCTTGATATAAAACAACTATCATTTTCACTAAGCACCTAATCAATTTATTTTCTTGACATAAAACACTCATTAATCAAATCTCAAGATAGTTTATAATTTCTCAATGTAATGGGCCATAAGTGCTTGCATATATTTTTATTAGACTTATAACACCTTTATTTATATTATGTAACATATTATTTATTTAAAATTTAAATGAATACTTTCATAAATTCGAAACTAACGATTTTGTATAATAACTTCATGTTATTTTGCTTTGACACAATGGACACAATCATCAACATATCATTTTTAACATTCTAAAAAACATAAATTTTAATCAGTAAATTTTATTCTCAGCAATATTGTGTAAATTATTTCTTACCTAAATAACTCTTCAATAAAGTATTCTCATTATAATTATCTATGTGCTTCGCTTAAATTGTCATGCTCCATTCAGGCCGGGTAAAAACTTGGCACTCTTCCAAATCTCTAGTACACTGTCGCACTGCAAGCAATGTGTAAATATAGATTTATATGCAGAAGGTATTGATCTAGTGAGATTGCCAGAACTGCTGTACATTCAATATTGTTATCTAACAACATTAAAAAAAACAAGTAATCACCTTTTTGATATAATGTTAGACATAACATTATATCAAAAAGGTGATTACTTGTTTTTTTTAATAATATAATAGTATAATAATTTATGTGATGAACATTTTTAAATTTTCAAATGTAGGAAATCAATCTCCTGTTAATAATAATAATAACTAGGTGCAGATTATTTAATCCTTAAAACTGGCCTTATCATAGAAAATTGAAGAGTAATTCATTTCTCATTCATGTTTATTTTGATGTAGCAGATGACTCTTCTTTGTGATTGGGTAATAAAATAATTAATATGGTAACTTTTACCCAGATATATAAAAAAGCTGCAATAATAACCTTGGACCAGTTGATTATCACTATCCCTTGAATGAAATATGTCCTTTGAGTGATGTGAACAAAACAAACATATTCTTTGATGACCTCCGTGGCCGAGTAGTTTGTACGCTGGGTTTCATGGTGTCGCTGAATCCTGAGGTCCCGGGTTCAAGTCCCTGTGGAGGCAGATGTTTGTGTGATGAATATGAGCATTTGTACTCCAGTCATAGATGTTTAATATGTATTTATATATAAAATATACTTGTACAGTGTAAACTCCAGGTAACGTCACTTGATTTAATGACAAACTCCCTAAAGCGTCAACATCACTTGTCTTTGGTTGGTTTAGTTTGTTTTCCAATACAATGATACACTCCATATAGCATTACACCCATTCTCAATAACGAACAACAATTAAGTTATAAAAAGTATTTTTTTAGTTGCCAAAATTATTGAATATCGTGCAGGTATCTTTTGTATACTTTATTCCTAGCCCATAATAAACTCGACTGTAGGCATAATGCAAACCAAACTTTCTAAGAAATTTGTTCTTTTGTTTACAAATTGGGCTTGCACTGTTGTTGACCATGACTAAAAAAATATAATACAACAAAATTACTTGTGCAGCAAAAGATGTCAGACAAAAAAAACAGAATATATGCAATAGCATTCAAATAAGTTTTTTTTATGTACACAACTACTAGCTCGACATGATTTTTTTCTTTTCATAATTCTGATTTTTCTTCTTTCCATTTAACAACAACTCTCTATAACGCCATAAAATGTACAGTCCCTATAGTGACATTATATATAGAGTTTACATTGTATATGTATCAGTATATGTATTCTGTCTGTTACCCTGGTATCCCATGACAATTAGCCTAATTGGTGAAAGTGAGAGTGAAAGGAAATATTTATATATTTTTTTTTAATTCTATGTTTATTATAAGGCTATTCACATATATGTGACTCAATTTCTTTCATAGGTATGCATAAAATTTCATATATTTAATTAGTGTTAGTTTGCATTATATATTAGTTATTCCAAGTACCTTATTCTAATTCATATTGATAGAATTCTGGTCTATTTTATTTCGACACCAATTCATTATACATATATTCAGTTAAAGTATGTCCTATTAGTTGTTGAATAATGCCAGAGATGGGCCTGTATGATACTGTTATTGTTGTTGAATGTGTAAAGGTTCTAGGTTATCAATTATCATTTATAAAATGAATTTAAAAATCATGAATTTTAATGCCTGCTACTAATTTTTTTGAGGTATTCAGGAACATTATTATTAGTAATACTTAACTGGCCCATTTCAAAATTAAAAGCTGTTTACCACCACTACTACCACCCACACTCCCGGACACCTGCCACCTTGATTTTTGTGGTTTTGAGTACTGTAACTTATAAAAGATGTATGTAGAAGGAAAATGTTTTGATGCAGTTTTGGAGCTGGTATACTCATCATTCATTTAGAGTGCCACTGTTCTAAATTTGAACTACAGTTTATTAAAAAAGAGTTATGTTGAAACAAGTCCATATTTGCTTTTTTTAAGGAAAAAATTCTAATCGATTTTTAAATAAAGACATGTTTTTCATGAAAATAAATGTTTATTTAGTAACTTGTATTGCCTCCCAGTGCATTTATGACAGCTCTCATACGGTTTGGCATAGAATTAATCAATGTCGTTATGACATGTTGAGGAATGTCCTCCCATTCTTCCAAAATTACATTTTGGAGCTCCTGCATGGTTTGCGGGGCAGGATGATGAGCTCGAACACGCCTCTTCGGCTCATCCCATAGAGGCTCTATAGGATTCATATCAGGACTTCGCGCTGGCCATCTCATAACAGTGATACCAATGTCATTTAAGTACTCCCTGACGATTCCCGCAGTATGGGCCCTTGCATTATCATGCATTAAAACGAAATCTTGGCCAATAAATCCAGCATATGGCATCACGTGGTTCTCTAAACATTTGCGAATGTATCTATTGCCATCTAGGGGCGGCAGTCGTGGTCCCGTCACTACCTCTCAGTTTTGCCTTCCATAGAGATTCCTCCCCAGACCGTCCATGATCCTCCACCATAACTCACTTTTTCGTCAATACAGCATTGCGCGAAACGCTCGTTCTGTCTTCGTTACACCTTACTCCTTCCGTCATTACCGTATAGCATTATCTTGGACTCATCTGTGAAGAGAACCTGGCTCCATTGATGTTGAGTCCAATTTAGATGTTCGCGCGCAAACTCTAGACGGGCTATTCGATGTGCTCGTGTCAATTTGGGTCCATTGGCTGGCTTATGGAGCTTTAAACCACGTTCATTGAGTCGCCTTCTAACGGTCCGAGCACTTACAGCCACTCCGTGAAAGTCCCTGAGCTGTTCTTGTATCTGAACAGAGTTAAGGCGTCGATTTCGTAAGCTAGTAGTGACAATGTATTGATCTTTTCTCGCCGTTATCACTCGGTAACGAGGTCCTCCTGTTCGCCGAACGAAGCCGCCAGTCTACAGGTATCGGTGGTACACTCTTTGAACAGCGGAACGACTTATGTGAAGTTGTGAACTCACATCTCGCTGACTTAGCCCAGATTGAAGAAGTGCTATAGCTTGCGCGGCTAATTCAGGTGAAATATCCATAATTTTATAGCCTAAAACGGTTCAAATTATAAAAAAATAACTAAACTAAACTTTGGTTTATAACAATTGCGAAAATTCAAACCAAATCGACATTAAATTGCTTCAAAAGCAACTTTTAACAGTCATTATTTTTTTCAAATCAGTGACCAAGCTCGGCTTTTGTTCTTTATTTTAAATTCTAAAATTCAAATTTGGAATAATACATACGGGAAAAACGATGAAATATGCCAGCATTAAAAATGCATTAAAACTTTTTTGTTATATTGTATATTTTTTGTGTATTGGGCGTTTAGGCCCGGGAATGTAAGGTGGCTCGATTCAAGAGTCCGGGAGTGTATATTATATTCTTGTTTTTAAACTACATTAAACATTAAATAGCGTATTATCATTATTTTATACTTTTTGTAGTGCTACCACAGATTAGTTAATAATTACCCTTTTTTATATTGTTTTTGAACTAGTGACTAAAAATCAGTATTTTACATAAAATATATTCTGTGAAATTGCAATCTCATTGTTTCATACTTTTTTGAAAAAGATTTACTGAGTAAAACATTACTTTTAATATAAAATTTAATTCATTTTGAAGTACCCTATGTAAATTCATTCCACTAATGTGATGTGTAGTAGAGGCATAATGCAAACTTCACATTCCATTAAGTATTCGATTGACGCTTCCTGTCTGGCGAAACTATAGCGTACAGTAAAGTTTAATATTATGTTCACACTATAGACTGTATATCACTCTTAGTGCTTTCAGAATAGGGCACACAATGTTAATATCTATATCATTTGTGCACATGTCATCACTTATGGTGTATTGATTGTACATTATTGTTGCGACGCAATATATTTATTATGGACGAAATACTATTTCTATAAAATAATAATTTAATATCCCCTTTATTGGGTTACGTACCAAAAGGCTGACAAGACAACCCTTTAAAAAGTTCTACTTTTAGGCTTCCGTTGTTCTTAGATTAAGAGTAAATCTAAGGAAAAGATACAATTGAACCATAATCGATGGACGGATGAAATCTATATTTCTAATTCCAAACTGGCTTTTAGTCAAAAAATATTTGTTTTAACCTAATTATTTGACTTTCGTTTGTTCCGCGTAAGCTACTTATTCAATTGGCTGCTGTTAATTTCAATAAGCGAAACTGTAAACGCGTTTCAATCTATTAATTTAATTAAAGCTTTTTATTGTACACAAGTACAATAACAATAATTGCTCGAGTTATTACTTGTAAGTACATAGAAACGCATGTTTGATTTGATGTTCAATTTAATCAAACTTCAGAAATAATGCGTTGTTTTAAGACCATTTGCGAATAGCAACCGTAGTCTATTTGGTTGACATTTTATTATAGAGTATAATAGATAGAATTTGCCAAGCCAATGTATTACGGATGTGGTAAATTTTGTTTGCTACATGAAGTTGATGGAGATATTAATTTTGCTCTTGTCACACTAATGACTGGAATCTCTAAACAAAACATAAACAGCTCTTTTCTCGCTCTTGGGTGCTAAGCTAATACACGAAGTCTTTGTTAGTTCTAGCGACCTCCGTGGATTTAATGTCATCGGTTTTTTTACCATCTGCTACTCGATGATACGGTGCTAGTTAACAAGCTACAAGGCTTGTAAACTCGCCCTGTGTCATGGAGGCTTAAGAAAAGGAAGAGCATTTACGTCTATGCGTGGTCACCGAGGGTCATATGAACGCTCTCTTAGGCCATAATTTGAATGAGGATCATTACTATGACAGCAAATCAACTCAAAATCAACAGTACAATGATCTAATAAGCTTTTTAATTAATACTCGTGTAGTTAATTAGAAATAAAGGTTCACTGCTTGTTCCCCGTAGGTGATAGCATGATAATATGTAGCCTATATGTTGACCCGACTTCTTAATAATATTTCTGAACTTGAACTTTTGAGTTTATCCCGCACATACATACAGACAAACAGACAAAAATTCTAAAAACTATATTTTTGGTGTCGGTATCGATTGCAGATCACACCCCAAGTTTTCTTTTAAAAGAAAATTCAAAGTACAGTTTTGACTTTCTTACCATTTATTATATGTATAGATACTTTTTAAATCATCGAAATCAGTTCATTCGTTGCGATTAACTAATTTTCACCAATATCAGCCAATATTCACCGGCGGCCAAACATGTGATGTCACAGAGCTCGATCGTGGTTCACTTCGGTCAAACTTCGCTAGCATCTCTACGCACAACACGTACGTCACAACCACCACGCGGCCAGCCGAAATTTCGTTTAGTTATTGGGTCATAACTTCGTCAATATTTGTCGAAGAACAAAAATTTTACCACTGTATTTTATGGAATCGTTATATCTATAAATCTGCATCCTCAACTAGAATCGTTACGGATCCTCATTGACGGCATTGTCTCTGCGCACTCCTCGGATTTATTTTGCATAGGTACCTACTGATCAAAAGGCTGACACAACTATCGGCCAATCGACAGTAGGCATTAAGTAGAGATACTAGATCGCGGTGGATTGTTAGTCTTGCATATCATTAATCTAAGGTTGTTATCGGGACGAAACAGTGACAACATCAATTTTCAAACTAAGCCATTTAATAAAGTTTTCTATGTACGGAAGTACACCTACTTATTCGTAATAGCCCGCCTACACGAGGGACTTTTGTTCGCCGTAATAGATGGCTTACAACTGTACAGTAACGCACACGACGGATTAAAAACACCGGGGACAAAAAGTCCCCCGAATCCACGGTCACCGAGGAACCGGCTAAGACAAAAATACGCGAGAGTCCTCGAAAATGATAGAACATATGTGACAAGAGGCGTCAACGCACACGGCAATCCGCGGTGCACGCTCGATAGTGATGTACACTATAAAGAAGTGGAAACATACAATCACATAAAGAACTTCTTTATGTGATACATCAAAAAAAACCACAACCGAAAGGACAATGGCGAAATATTTAGCATCTATAGATTTCATCATCAGAAATGCAAATAAAATAATCATAACGAATTTATCAAATAATTGAGGGAGGTAATTAGTCTAGAATTAAAAACTTTAAATTAAGGAAACACAATTGAGTGATCATTAAGTAATCACATTTTTGTTATTATGGCTAAACTACTATTTAAAGTGATTTTACTGATTAAATCAACCTCAAGTAAGTTGTTCGCATGTTTTGCATCGCTTTACGCTGAAACTATATTTAATTACCTTTCAGTAGGATCGTCAAACATAGTTTTATTCAATATTATACTGAAAACATAATAAATAATCACAACAATACAAATAAATAATAATCAATTCGATATAAAGGTATGGACCCAGTGTTCTTTTTTAGAACGTCTTCTCTTTTTCTTAAACTTTATGTTAAACGTTATCTCAGAAAATTGCTTCCATAGCGTGCGCCTCACTAAATTTCGGGAGACAAATGACTGCACACTAGAGGTGGCGTTAAAGGTTGAATAAAATTATTTGTTAAAAGTTAATAGTTAAATAAAAATATCGGATAATTTTAATGGTTCAAAATAGCAGTTAATATTTTTATATATAGGGTAAAAAAATCGAATACATGTGTTTACTTTTTTACTAGTTTAATTTAACGGTTGATAAATATATTGAACAACACTATCGCACACCGTGTGCGTTGAACCCGTGACAAGTCCTCGGCGGACATTTTTTCATAATACACGGACAAAAATCCGTTTCAGTTCAGGTCATCAGCGACCAACAGCGTACACATTCCAAAAAAGAGTCACATACGCCGTTCATCATGATATCGGGCGGCCTTCTTATTTCTATATGATTAGATCCAGGTAAACCATAAATAACAAGACAAAAACCTAGCGGTTTTTTTATTATGCACCACGCTTTCGGTTCGCTGTCTATTTACCATGGCTAGGTATAAGTACACAGGCGTTAGTATTTATCAAATTGAGATACTTATTTCGTCCTTTTCAGAAATTCCTGGCCAAGTCTGGCAAGAAGGATGCAGGTGACGTCACTCTTTCCGAGTTCATCCACTATGTCAGAGAGCACGAGAAGAATCTTAGGTTACAGTTCTCGCACCTCGACAAGAATAAAGATGGTAAATATAACCTTTAACCTGTTTTGTATAGCTTCCTTTCGTATCAAATCAATATACAAGGAGCTCTAAAGCGCTGTGTTTAGCGTGTTCGGCCTGTGTTTATGAAAGTCAAGCAACTTACAATGGCCCTTTATCGAATAGATGAACAAAAATTTACCCATGATGACATGAGAAGTAAGTTTTGGCTAAACTAGTGATGGGGTATTATGGTTTGTTTTCTCTTTACATCGTTAATAAAAGAAAACCAAATTCCTAAAAGTGCGTAAGATTTTGACATAAAACCCCGTTAAAAACACTGAAGTCTGAAGATGCATTTCGTTATGCAGCAGTATCATCATTGATAGTCATGATTTGATACTTATACATTAAAGATGTGATGTATGCTCAATGTCGTGACCTCGACAGTCCGAGGCATACGGGGCAATGTTACAATGTCGCTTGCAACCTTTACATATTGTCCATGATCATAAATCCGCCGACATTCAATAACGTACTCAATCTTATTGGCTGATCGTTTCGCAATATGGCTTCCTCTGCTCTAAACCTTAAAACGTTCGTTTGATCTTATTATTCAATGTTAATTAGATTGTAAACCGTGCATTATTACACTTCGTCTTGTCCAGGTCTCAAAGTTTCGACGATCAAAGCCAAAGATTTTTCTGCTGCGATGGTTGGTAATGCCTATTATTTTCCTTGACCCTCTTGTTTTCTTTTCAATATCTACTTATCTTTCAAACACTTTTTTCTTCTCAGCTATTTTCGGGCACAACTAGATATTTTGTCATTAAGCAAATGTACGCAAAATTAATCGCATGATGAGAAAAATACACTGCAGGCCGACTCTTTTAAATGTCCGTTTTGATGTAGATACGTACATATGATTTTTGTTTTCTAAATGTAACTCAAATTGCTGTAAGTTCTCTGACTGAAACAGTTAACCGCTTTATTTAGAACCGCGTGACTAATTAATGGATTCATCGTTACATCATCATTAACACATGACTAATCGAGGAAAGATCTGTTTTAAAACAACTTCATTCTGAAAGTGAAAAACTCGGCTTTGTCCTTTTTGGTTTTCTACCAGTTTCTAGCTCATAATAAGTAGTTATGTGGGTGGATAAGTTTTAAGGTCCATGACACCGTTAACTCATCTCCCACAGATGATGGTAACGTAGTTGTCAGCATATTAGCCTGCGCGTAAAATATATTTGTACTTTCACTAAATTGGTGAGACTAGGCTGAAAGGCTCATCATTATTATGTACACATTTACAGCATTAAGAAAGCAGTTTTGATTCATTCAGATTTCTTGTTCAACATTACTGTTTTTGTTGTTGTAGTTTTTCTTTCGCCTTGCCACATGTCTGCAACATTTTAACTGTTTTGGCAGTAAGTCCGGCTTTTGCTGGTGTCTGGTATTAAATAATAAATGAAAAACACCGTTGAACGAAACCCACATACATACGTTCACGCTATAAATGCCTCTCGGGATTAGCAGAACATACAATTAAAAGATGATAACTATAATTTGTTTGAGGCTTTTTAGAACAAAGGTCATCTCATAACCGCATTTTAATTCTTGAAAACATGTCTTGAAACTTTCCACGGGGTTGGGTATGAAGTTAGCAACGCCCGAGTGATGCTGTGTGGTATCCCAAACGAGTATATAAACTATAGCGGCCGCTTGCCTATGCTATGCTAATATGCTAATTTGCCCAACTTTTTAGATAAAAAAAAGAGAAATTATTAACACTTATCAGTGCATCAGCTACTAAAAGTTATTTGATATTTGGGTTTAGATTTTTTTGTTATGACACTTGATGCGGTTTTTATTTCTTCTACACATTAAGGAAAACTGCCTCGCTATATCTGTGGTTTTAATTCGGTCTTAATCAAACTTGGGATAGGTACCGAAATAATTTTACCAATGGCCTATTAGACTATCGATTTGCGCTTGGCGGTCTTGGAATATCTAAGTCAAGGCCAACACTAGGCGGGCGTGCTCTAATCGTTTTTTTAACCACTTGAATTATACACTTCTGGACACATCTATTGGCCCACCTTGTATTTTCAGTTCCGTTTGGTCCTAGCTAAAATTTTATATTAGATCGAGCAAAAAGTTTTTATGCAGTTTTGAACCTGGCACATTCACAATTTCATTCAATATTCTTTTTTTGAATTTCGAACACAGAATTTAAAGAAACTAAAGACAATTTGGAGCCTGTTTGTTGATATCAAACAATCGAATACTAAGAAAACTTGGTTTTATTGGTTTACTTGGATTTAATTCTTGAAAAAGTGATTGATATCTTTGGTTTGCAACAAACATTACTTATTCTTACCATTAAGGGGAGGTTCTATCAATAATCTATGGATACTTCACCTGAAGTCGCCACCCAAGCTGTGGCACTTATTCAGGCCGGACACAGCCAAAGAAACGTGAGTGCTCAACTTAATTTAAGTCGATCTGCGGTCCGAAATGTTTATCGGAGGTACCTAGAGACTGGCGGCTTTGTTCGTCGCCAAGGAAGGCCACGATCTCGGGTCACAACTGAAAGGCAGGATCGATTCATCGTGACGACCAGCTTGAGAAATCGTCACCTCCATTGAGATACAAAAAAAATTCGCGACTTCCACGGAGTATCTGTGAGCGCTCGAACTGTTCGGAGAAGGTTAAAAGAACGCGATATGGTACCACACAAGCCAGCTAATGGGCCCAAACTAACGCGAGCCCACCGAACAGCGCGCCTTCATTTCGCACGCAGTCATTTAAATTGGACACAGCAAGATTGGAGCCGTGTACTCTTTTCTGATGAGTCTAAAATTGTGTTACATAGCAATGATGGAAGGAAGAAGGTCTACCGACGTAAGGGAGAGCGTTTCGCACAATGCTGCTTTGAAGAGAGGGTTGCTTATGGCGTTGGCTCATGGACTGTCTGGGGCGGTATATCCGCGAGCGGCAAAACTCAACTTGAGGTTATTACAGGACCACGGCTGCCAACATTAAATGCTGAAAGGTACATTCGTGAGTGCTAAGAACCTCACGTGATACCATACTCGGACTATGTGGGCCCGAATTTCCTTTTTATGCATGATAATGCAAGAGCCCATGCGGCCGGCATCATCAGGGAATATCTTCGGGATGTGAACATCACAGTTATGGACTGGCCAGCCAGAAGCCCAGACATGAACCCCATTGAGCACATGTGGCACGAGCTAAAAAGACGTGTTAGGGCTCGTCAGCCAGTTGCCCAGACGATGCAGGAGTTGAAAACTGCCATAGAAGAGGAATGGGAGATGATCCCTCAAAATTTCATAGAGCGGTTGATAAACTCTATGCCTAATCGTATGAGAGCTGTGGTAGATGCCCATGGAGGCAACACGCGTTATTAAATTAAACCTTTATTTGATAAAACATGTTTTTTATTCAAAAATCAATTGCCTTTAACGAGGCGCATATCCGACTTGTTAGGCGTAGCTCCATGTCGTATGGTATTCTGAATTCAAATTTAAAACAATACGATCGAAAAAGATGGTAAAATGTATCAGGTTTAAAACTGCATCAACAGTTTTTGTTCAATCTAGCAATCATATTTCGGTAGGGGCCATCGAAACCTAAACTCTAAGGTGGGCCAATAGATGTGTCCAGAAGTGTATATAGCTAAATGAGAATTATATATATATAACATATTAAGTATTTATGTTGTTCAAAATTCCTTTAAATATTAAATAAAAGTTTAGCGGTACAGATAAACTATATTAAATGGTGTTGAACTTAATTCATTTATAGCTAGTGATTCGGCCTGTCTTTGCAGAGGTGAACTTTATTTTAACGTGATAAAATATTACCTATCTATATAACTCAGGAATAATGGAGCATTCTATAGTGTTGAAAGAATTCTTGAAATCGGTCCAGGAATTTTTGAGTTTATTCGATACAAGTCTATCCCGTTATTTTAATACAGATTTCTATCAAAGTGATTGGCTACCAGCATCTTCAAAAGTAAAGTCGACTTCAATTGTTTAGAATATCATGTTAAACAGCATCAGGATTACTCTTAATGTTGTTCTTAAGACTTAACCTTAGAAAATGCATTAAAGACCTAATATCTTTCTATGGCTATAAAATTCAACTTCATGACTGTATGTATTCATAATATCATGTGTATTTCTCATTATTCTCCAGGAAAGGTGGATCTGGAGGAACTTATATCTGCATTCGCTGATCTTGGCATTGCTGTCGGCGAAAATGAAGCCACCAATCTTCTGAAACGGTAATCTTAATATTTTAAAGTTACTCTTTTAGCTCCTGCGACAGTGTTATTTATGTTAAAAAAAATACTTTTTTGTCGGTATTGACTATTAATATGATAGTGTTATTGATTAAGTTTTCCTTTTTTTTATTTTAATATTTTCAGAATGCATTATTAACACTGGCCATATATGACACAAACTTTGTTTGGGGCAACATCGAACGGTCTGAACATTAACCTATTGAACGCTATCGACCCCTGCATTCATCTGTCAAAAGCGCCGTAAAATAAACTGGGTAATGGGAATTTCCTGTACTGAACCGAAAAGTTGCGCAGTTAAAGGGTCAAAAAATTAGAATCTTGCGAAACTACACGTACTTATTATCACAGTAATATTATAAAGGCGAAAGTTTGTGGTGTGTATGTTTTTTACTTCTTCACGTCTAAACGGCTGGAATTTTTTTAATAAAATTTGGTATGGAGTTAGCTGGCACCCTGGATTAACACATAGGGTACGTTTCACTGCGGGAAAATATCCCTAATAAACCGCGGATAACACCGCGGGGCTCTGCTAGTTTTGTATAAATATAAAAAGTAATTATCTCTTTATTATAGCATACATACGTGCCTCTAAATTTATCAAATGAGGATACCTACCACAACGTGTTGGCCCATTATAATAATAGAGATTGGTATAAATAAAAAAACATGCTGCTTTCTGTTAGTTATTCCAGCAAATTTTAACTAACTTATATTAATATTATAGTTTCAATTTTACTAAATGGCTGTGCGTTTTCACTCAGTGTCTATATTTTGTAATCGAAAATATAAGAAATAAGCAGTTATGTATCTGGAAAGTATATAATTATCAGGGTTAGTAGTTTCGGCTACGATTGTCGCCTATAAATTCGCGAGCGGAATCTAATAATATCATGAATTTGGGGCACGTTGCTTGTTTTGTTTTTCTGACAACGGAAATTTTACGGTTTTCACAGAATTCTATATAACCACTATACATTATAATGTGTGTTTAAAATATGTGTTATGCTAAGCGACCGTTTTATCTTATTATTTTTTAATCTAAATTTCTTATTGCCTGCATTTTATTGGATAAATGAAAAAACGTCATTACAATAATAATGGGATGAAGACTTACTTTTTTTCTTCGTCGATCTGGTTGATTATCAAAAAGTAATGGACACGTATTTCTTATTTTTTCGCGTAATCAATAAGTTACAGAGATATTTTGATTTGATTACAGAGATTATTGAAATGATGAAATGTCGCATGACGACATGTGGTGGTACAATTTATATTCAGAGGTGACGTCACAAGCCCTCACTCCTAAACTTAGATGCGCTTTATCTTGGTAATTTTTTGGTTGATAGATAAAATGAAATAATAAGTGTCCATTATATTTTATACTTAGTTAATCAAACCGACGGACTAAATAGAATTTCGTTTACTTTACCCCCGCTATTATCCCTATTGCATGCGGTAGTAATTATTATTGAATGTGTTGGGAGTAAACCTTTATTTAAAAATAATTTCACATATAAATGAACTCTTTGCGAGGAACTTGATACATATTATTACAAAGAAAAAAAATATATAGACTAGTATTCCTTATGAACTAGTTACCTAAAATAAAAAAACCCTTAATAGCGCACGCACAGAGTTGCAGCATCAAGTGAATTAAATGTTATTTATATTAAATTAAACGAAAAAATACCGATTGCCGCCAAATTAATTAAAATGTATCCCTGGAAAAATTAAATTACTTATTGCCTAAATGTCATGAATAACTCTAAAAACCGTATTTTTTTCTTCCTTTTACTATAACTTTTACTCATAGCAATAAAGTTTCTATAGGTCATTCTTTTATCGCCCACTATGAAATTAAAACTATTAATGTAGACCAGACAGCAAGTCGACGTTTTCAAACTTTTCAAGCACACTTGCGATATTCTCCTTGCAAAGAAAGAGAAAAAAGTAACTATTATTTTCAATTAATTATTAATTAAAAAAGGCGTTTATTACAAAATGTTTCAGAAATGCTGGTTGGCCTATTATATGGTGGTGAGTAAAGAAACCCGCCGAAGTATTAGAGCCAGCCAACGCAACTCGAGCTCGAACCAAGTAGGGTCACACAGTTATGTCCATTCTCACATGTACGTAGCTAACCGTGCAATGTGACCATACCTTTAGTAGCTTCGCAGTAGGTACTTAATATACACAGAGCTGTCACAGTCAAAACTACTTTGACCTTTTCAGGTTAAAAATATAAACCAACTTTGTATATTAGTTTTTGAAGTTCAGTCTTTTATTTTCGGTTCTTTGATTAACGTTCGGGTAAATTTTAATAACAATTACATTGCTTCAAATCCATATGGCGTATTACAGCGGGCCGCGGAGTAGATTTATTAAGGTATTAATAAATCTACTCTGAATTCAGATCTTTCTTACAAGCATCGGTGGTTCAGTGGTAGAATGCTCGCCTGCCACGCGGGCGGCCCGGGTTCGATTCCCGACCGATGCAAGTCTTTTTTTTTACTTTTTACAAGCCAGAGTAACTCAAGTAACTAAAATAGAGATACCTGGCATGTATTATCTTTTCAATATTTCTTAAAATAACCAAACACGAATTGAGTATTGTTTGTACCCGAAGAGTACCATTGTTTTCTCTAAAAGTAACATCAGATTTTTACTAAACCATTAATTTACTTCGAACTTGCATCATGGTTTCATTATACCGAATATTTTTTTTTTGTTTTTTATTTTATATTTCGGAGTGAGAATAGTTTAAGTTAAGCACAGTGACATCTGTCAACTAAAGTAGATAGATATTCATTGCTCATTTTTTTTATTTCTTATTATTTTTCCAAGGTTTCGGTTTTCGGAAAGTTTGTTTAATAAATTAGTTTTGTTTGTTAATTTATTGAGTTATTGTTTTGCGAAGTAGAGATGTTTAAAAAAAAATAACATCAATAGAAGTTCGAGATGGATTACTCAGAAAATTATTGTATGTAATACCGCAATGTAGGTACTTCCACTAACTTAGGTATCTATTTAAAACACTATGTTCTTGTGACCACGAATTTTGAACGAATATGCGAAACGTATTTTTTTTAAATATTTTTTTTTTAACATTAAATTTGCTTAGAAAATGTTTTAATATGTACATGATTGGTATGTTAGGAAATATAGTAACAGATTTGATTATGAAATTTAAATAATTCTATTTTAACTAAACCCATCTGATTGCGGCAAAAATCTATGAATTACTTGAACTACTTTCTTAAAGTCTCTCGAAATATTAAATCGAATAATGAAACCACAAAATTGGATTGAATAAAAATGCTTTACTTTTTTATTTACAAAAATAAATATGCATTGAGTAAATAAAATTGTACCTATATCTTCATAATTGAGAGTAAAGGAGTATCTATTTTAATCAGAAATGGGCATTATCTTTGCTTTATTGTAATTAATTAAAAAGAAAACCGTTAAATAATTTTAAATAGAGTCTCCAACATAGTTGTCAATTGCCATCTGGAAAAATAGTAAGGAATACTTTTAATGATGTATGGATTACTAAGGCCCAAGCACGAACATTGATAGCTATAATAATCGTATCGTCATCGTCAAATTTTGTATGAAAGGAGCCAGTCTTTTCTTACGTCCGGTAGGGGCGCTGCTTCTTCTTCTTGCAACGGGCGTTTCCGCAACTCGACGTCCTTATGGCGCCTGTTTTGCGTGAGGAGGGTGCATAGCCGGAATCACTCCAGCCAGCCCAGCTCCTCCAGGAACGCCCCAGGGCCTTCACTTTGGTGATTGCCTCTTGAAGTTTTCCCGGTGAGCCGAGGAATTTCGCCCGGTATTTGGCCAGTCCGTTGCATTCCAGCAGAACGTGAGTAGCTGTTTCTTCTGCCTCCATGCATTCTCTGCATAGGGGGCTGTCCGTAACACCTAATTTCAAAAGATGTCTGTAATAAAATGAAATGAAATGAATGGAGTGAAATGAAAAATTCTTTAAATTTGTGAAATGAAATGAAACATTCTTCTTTTTGTTAAAATGTCCGGTAATGCGCCTGTTACCATGCGCAATGTAGGTTTGCTTTAGTGTTGCCGAACTATCGATATGAAAACTATCGACAGTTTACATCGAAAATCATGTACCCTATCGATAGGCCTATCGATAGAATCGATACAATCGATAGTATCGAAACTATCGATAGCACAGAACAAGGCAATACTATCGAATGAGTGCAATAGTATCGATACTATCGATACCGTTGATTTTATCTGCAACAATACTATCGATAGTATCGATACTAGCGATTGTTTTAGACTATCGATAGTCTACCAATTTGCAATAGTATTAGGTATGTTTTAACAGTATTGTAGTTGAGGACTATTAGAGGCCGATATATATATTTTTATAAACATTTCTATCGAGCTGTGCTAATTCTAATAGTTGATTGTGATTGACTATAATACCTGAAAATTGTAAACAATACTATTGCAAATTGTTAAACTATCGATAGTATAGTTGCAAATAAAATCGACAGTATCGATACTATCGATAGTTTGTTATTACCGACCTACAATACTATCGATAGTATTTCACTCATCCGATAGTATTGGCTTGTTCTGTGCTATCGATAGTATCGATACTATCGATAAGCCGATCGATTGTCATACGATTGGTCGGCTATCGATAGACTATCAATTAATCCTCGATAGTCGACTATCGATCGGCAACACTAGTTTGCTTAGCTGTAGAAGAGTTTCGGAGACGTCACCAGATCGAGTCAGTGTTGCTGGTGTAGTGCGGCTATTTAGTTTTCATAGAAACTTTGAGGATGCGATATGATTACGGAGCCGTCAAAATTCGTTCTTGGGCCTTAGGTCTATGGCTTTAATACTTGATGCTACTGCTGCTATAAAGGGGTGTCTCGCCTTGGGAGTTTAGCGTTTGGTCGTTGTTAATAATTGAAAAGGAATCATTTCTCGATACAGAGCAAATCGGAACTGGTTTGTTGCTTCATCATCATCATCATCAGCCTCTTAATGTCTCTACTGCTGGGGCACAGGCCTTCTCTATGGATGGAATAGGGAGATTGGGCCATGACCCACCACGCGGGCCCAGTGCGGATTGGCGGGTGCTAGCGACTGCAGATGCAACCGGGACCAACGGCTTAACGTGCCTTCCGAAGCACGGAGGAACTCTAGATAGAAATTTTTTTTTGGTCACCCATCCAATGACCGACCACTGCGAAAGTTGCTTAACTACAACGATCGCAGCCGAACGAGCTAACCACCTGCGCCATCGAGCTCCTCAGTTTGTTGCTTATATATAGCCTTTTAACATTATGCCTGTTTGTCACGTTTCCAATCTAAAGCTAAACACTACAGAAGCAATTTCAAGTTTCGAACTATTAGTAACAAAAGCGAAATTTAGTAACACCTTCTCATCACTCACAACATATTCGCAAAAAAAATGAACTTTTTGTTATAATTAAAAAAGAAGTAGTTTTGACTAGTCGACAAATTTACTGCGAAATTTGATTTAGATTCGAAAGCAACATCGGCACTAACCTGTATATAAAAAACAAATACGGAAACATTATTGTGACCATCTTATATTTTCATTAGATTACGATTGTGTTATTTGTACTTACCATAGACTCATCATCATGAGCGATCTTTGCTTATTACATGTACTGAGTGCGAAGCACCTATGTAGTTTGCGTAAATGTCTGTCCAGATACACGCTCGATTCACACGCGTTTCATAGTTCATCGCGTGGTCATAAACCGAGTGGAAACAATCCATTCAGAACAATGAAAATAAAACGCGATTGAAAACGCGCGTAAAGCGCCTCATCTGGACAAGCTCAAAGTCACGTCACGCGTCTCGTTCACGCACATGGGCTTGTCCACAGGATGGACCAGGACGGCAGCTTGAACATCAGCTACGATGAGTGGCGGGACTATCTCCTGCTGGCGCCTGCTACCGACATCCACGCGCTCATACACTTCTGGCGACATTCCACGGTAAGTGCATTGCTTCAAACTTTGATAAGGAGTTTATCAGACAGTTTCGGCATCTACATATGCCTCCCTAGCATGAGCACTGCGATATGATATATAACACGTGTTTATTACGCTCAATTGTCAAATTACTATGGAGTTTGACAGTTACACGCGATAAAAAACGTGATATAATGTAAATTGTGGTGCTCATACTACGGCGACAGATGCCGAATATCAAGCCATCAAATGTCAAACTTATAGGTTAATCGTTATTCAGCGCCATGTGTTAATAGTCCTATTGTCGTGTATATGTAATTTTAGTGTTCGGTAATTTCTGCCAAATAAATTGAACTCATACACCGAATAACCTAGAGCCTAGTAATCCTACTATGTATAACGATTTTTAAATAGCGCTCAATGAGACCGCGCCCTTATTTTTCTGATACCTAGCTGCATATATCTAGTACATAATAACGTTATCGCAGACGTGAACCATAGCCATAAATCACTTATCTACATTCATGTCTATCTAGCTCACAAAACCGTTTGAACTCGGGGAGCGCCGATAGGATGTGCATGCAGTCGTTTGAGTGAATAATGCTATGGATTAATCCCATATATTGCCTCGTCCCTTACAAAAACGAGAATTTATTTTTTATAAAAGCACCATATATTCATTTTATATAGGTAGTATTCATCTATACTTTTAAAATTAACATAAGTTGTATTGACTTACCAATTATCATATTGGAAATAATCTTAGGGTTGCTCAGGGTACTGCAGTTTGTCGATATTTTTACAATTTTTTTTTTTGTCGTATTCAATTTCTGCCGTTTATGATCAGACTTATAGATTAATAATCTAAATAATTTATGCTATCATAATTTTTTATCTGTCTGTTTGTAAACAAGACAATGCGTCAAACATTAGGAAAGATCAGATGGCCGTATTCTATTATTAAATTAATTTATGTAAAGAAAAAACTGTCGTACGCGTCGTAGAACCTTCTTAGAAAAGGAAATAGCTAATATTTTGTATTATTATGCGTTGGAAATATATAAAATTTATAAAGTAAACATTATACTTCTATCTTACCTTACAATTTGTAATTGCATAAGGATTTCATTGCTTGCAGTAAGAAAGACAATTTATAAAATTAGGTGTAACTAGAAATTTTTTGGATAAGTGATTGAGAGGCATTTGAACAGCGCGCCCAGCTCCCGCTGACTGATTTTAAAGTCTGAATCGAAACCGAGGTTACTGATCATTAGTAGACTTTCCCCGGTCACTTATTTCAATTATCGTTTTTATAGCATAATATGACTTTATTAGATATTTATTAACATAATGATTGACTTCCGGTATCTAAAACGGTGACGTGAACAAATATATTAGTGTAAAAGGAAGACCATTTATCTCACTTTTGGCACGCGAGGTATATTCACTTGCGTTATCAATTTCGATCTGTTTGTGGTTATCCACGACACCGAGATTATGTGATTTCCAATCAAAAGAGACTGTATTGTGTGTGTGTGTTGTGTTATCATTTTTATTTTGTTTTATCGATAGCAATTCAAATGACAATGACATTGTAAGGATATATGATTGATGAGCGTACAGACAGATCTGTTATAAGTATTTATGGCTTCTTTCAAGTTCAGAATCGTTCACTGTCATTGCTGTATCAATATGTAACTACGTCAGTGCGTTTGCTAAGGATTCTTACTCTAATTAAGTCCGTTGCATTAAAAGAAAGCTGTCTATTGCTATTGGTGATTCACAAAGAGCTTTTAATTTTTTACTAGTGACGAGAGAGGCAACAACGTCACTCAGACTGTAGATAGAGAAATGAAAATGCATGTTGTTTTATTGTTCGGTATTAATTTTATAATTTGAAATATCAAAGGTACCTACTTGTTGTATTGGTTGAAGAAATAGTAGAACAGATGGTAATTACCCATTACGGAAACCTACACTGCGCGTGGCATCATTTATATTTTTTTCGGATTTTTAGTACGGTAGTCCAGTGGGCTGTGCCCCTGTCCGAGCAACTGTGGTAAGAAAAATAACAACTCGTCCCGGTTAACTGTATTAGGGTAAGACATTTTTACGATGATCCAGTCCACAAGACTATCTCAACTACTACGGGTAATGAACGCTTACAAACGTGATTGCTGCGTTCGTTTGTCAGTAGTGTTGCCAAGTGTCCCGATTTTCAGGGGTCTGGGGACACGTCCCGATTGGTACCTGATCGGGACGCCAAATGTCCCGATTAATCAAAAAATGAAATTTAGGTAATTAATATATTACTATACTTGGATTAGTAGTTTAAAACGCAATAAATTAAACCCAGACTTAAAAACCCCTTGTTTTTTGCTTGCTGTCCCGAACTGCAACCCTAAATCCTGATTTTTTTACCTTTTGTACCGAATAAACAAATCGGACCTGGCGATACTATTTGTCAGCCATGTTCGGTTTTCGGCCGAAGCGCCGCATCCCATATCTAATAAATTGACAACACTTCTTGCATTATTTTCTGTTCTTTCTAGTTAGCTAGTTTCTTTCTTTAGTTCTTAGAGTGATATACTGTATTGTTTGAGTTGCTGTTATAATCTGATTAGTGTGCCCTGTTGTGTGTGTGTGTCCTGTTGGGAATGTAACACAAAGATTTTTACATAACTGACAATCACTGGTATCACATTGCAATTTGCAATGCAAAGACAAAGAAATACCAATCATAGTTAGTCAAAATGTTTCGTACAAAGTCTGGACTTGAATGACTTGTCGGTAAAACTTTATTTTTATTGAAAAGACCAGACCATGTATTCTTATGAATAAATATATAATAGTACTAATACAGAAGTAAAATACTTATCGCTCGCTCTAAAATAGTTGCATAATGACGACCTCCGTGGTCGAGTGGTTTATACGCCGGGTTTCATGGTGTCGCCGACTCGAGAGGTCCCGGGTTCGAATCCCGGTGGGGGCAGATGTTTGTGTGATTAATACGAGCGTCATGGATGTTATATGATGTAATATTTATTTCCATATCCATATTTCCGTATCCCATAACACAAGCCTTACAGTGCTTACTTTGGGGCTAGGCTAATTGGTGTGAGTGTTGGAAATATTTATTATTTCTTAAAAAAAACTTGTTGATTATGTAAGTACCTACGCAATACAAAGTCGGCAACGTCTTTTATAACTAGGTACATTGTGAAACAAATCATAATCAATACTTGGTGTAAACAAAAAATGGAATATTGCAGTCGTCTGCATCTGCAATCGTTATTTTCCACCCACCAATTCACACTGACTGAGGCCTCATATTGAAGTCATAGCCTACGAATTAAAAATCTAATTCGCTCGTTCTCCTTATTCCATTGATAGGGAAGGCCGATGATGATGGGTAAAAAACAAAAAGCTTCTACACACCAAAAAATTACTTACAGTGAACATATTCTGTAAAACATAATTAATGTATTGTGTATTGAAACGATAAGATAACATGAGTAATAACTTTTTTATCATAAAGTCCTGGTCATTTGTGAAACCTTTATCAAAGTATTCACAAACGTGCCCCCGTAAATGGGCGATGGCTATTGGTACATTCCGCTCTTGATAAAATTTATTATCGGTGGAATTTAACCTATAGATATAATTGAACCGTCAAAACAATACTGAGAACAAAATTGTGTTTTTGAAGGACAACAAAAAATAAAAAAATCAAAATTTCAGATTAAGTACATGGGTTGTTAATATTTAACTCAAACCAGGCAATGCCATGTCATTTTGACTTTCTTAAGGTTCTCTCATGTTAGTTATGTTGTAGTGATATATGATTTCTTTAAATATAAAAAAAAACGGTTAAGTGCGTTTCGTACTCGGGCTACCAAGGGTTCCGTACAAACTACTCGCAAGCGATGGCAATGTTCAAATGTTCTGAAGTAATAATAAATAATTGTTCAGACCAGTTTAACATAATAATAATACTTTTTATCATAATAACTATTGAGACTATAATAGAGAATATGATAGAAACTTATACATAGACTATAAATTATAGTCTACCGGACGAACAGTTGAAGGTTGAATTGAAACACACATATAATATAACCCCATGCATTGTAGCTGATATTCTATAGCGAGAATACTGAACTATATTTCCCTATGCGATAGAATCAGAAATGAGGAAATCCGTAGGAGAACCAAAGTAACCGATATCGCTCGAAGGATTGCTCTGCTGAAGTGGCAGTGGGCAAGTACGTAAGTAGGCACGTAGCAAGAAAAACCGATGGCCGTTGGGGCGGAAAGGTTCTACAAATTCTACCACGCACCGGACGACGCTCAGTGGACAGGCTCCCTACAAGGTGGACCGACGATCTTGCGAATGATGGATGCGAGTGGCGCAGAACCTATCGGTGTGGAGATCCTTGGGGGAGGCCTATGCTCAGCAGTGGGCGCCGTACGACTGACATGATAAAGCGCTATTGTAACTCGTCCGGTCATCTCTACATTTAACACTAATGCCTTGCTAGCATTCTTTTATCTAATTTTGTTTATAAATTAATGATAAAAAGCAAATATAGCTCTTCATCATATCAGCCGTACGACGACGCCCACTGCTGAGCGAGTGATCATATAAGCCTAGGATCTCAGATCTCTCTAAATTCGTAGAATAGAGTATGACAAATAGATGACATATAAAATTGCTACCAGCTTCCGCTCTGTGGGCATTTTTTTAGTTGATAGTGTAGGTAGAGACTACTTACTGGGCCTTCACAAGTGCTTGTAACAGCCTAGACTGAATAAATGACTTTTCATTTTCTTACTTTTAATTTCAAAATGATTCTTACACATTAGACCAGGGTCGATAATTTTTGAGACCAAAAAAAATTATATCGATTTACGGTAAAACTGCAAGTCCTATGAAAAAAAGTTAAATGGCAAAGTTGTAGGTAATAAAAAGATCTACAACTTTTGTTTCGACACTTTTTTCACATAACCTCAAAATTTATGTG